TGCAAGAATAGCACAGTAGTGTCTCTAAAAGTAAGACTGAGCTGAAAGAATGAAAGCCTCTTGCTGCATGTTTCAGTGACGTAACGGAATTTGTGGTTTTGCACAGCCCTTTATAAGATAACTATTTACTGGGGAACATCTACTAGCTTCTGCAAGGGCAAGGATCTGAAAGATAATTTTTTTTTTTTTTTTTAAATTTTACCTTGTTCCACACATTTGTTTTCATTTCTTCAGCTATCAAATACAGTTCTCACACAGATCAATCTTTCTACACACATGCAGTCTCACAACCCCCCCTCTGCAATGGAAAGGAAATAGACTGAAGCTAGGGCAGAGATTTAATGAGATACAGGGCGCATATAAAATGTGACAGATGCACAATTGCTTACGTCACATGACTTTCATTGAGATATGTAAAAGCTAGAAATAACTCAGAAGATGAATTCATGCAGAAATACATATCAAAGCTTTCTTAGCCATTTAAAAGGCATATGATCTTTTTGCTGTCTTCAAAAACAAGTGAGTACTTACAAACCCCAAATCTAGACTTGGATTCCCACATCTCAGTACCTAAACAAATGTAACTTGGTACTCTCCCTCCATCTCCATTGATTTCAAAGGGGTTTATTGGTACTCCACACACTTTGCAAAATCTGTCCACTTCTATTTAAGTATTTACTTAGGAGACAGCATTTAAGCATGAAATCCCAACCCAAACCTTCTGCTCTTATGGCTTTATAGCACTCTATCCTGGGCTCAATTCATGACCCTCAACCATTTACATGACTTAAGCTCACTTATGGCAGAACTTGGTGGTTCTTGAAAGAGTTGGATTGTTGAAGCCCACTTTAGTCATAGTAATGATAAAAAGCCCCAGAAGAACCTTCACTTGGAGTGGAAAGAAGTGAGATGAAGAAACACACTTTCTGTGGAAGAACAAGGGTCCCACGAGAAGATGCTCAGCTGACTTTCAATGAGCTAGATCAGACTATTGTAAACTTCTGTACAATCCCTCTTCAATGGCTCATAATGAGCTGAAGTTACCTAAGCAAAACTTCTTGCACTTCAGATATTCATACAGACAGATGTCTTCACTGAACACAGTTTCATTATCCTAACTGACCACTTTCGCACATCTCCTGTTTACTAACAAAAGCTAAGCCAAAAGGTAAGCATTTGTCTACCATGGAAGTGACAGCAATGGTATTTACAATCTCAAAAGAGCAGCTAAGGATTGAATGTTCAAACTCTAGGACTGGCTTGATGTATACTGGTGACTGGAAAAGAGACAGCCTGCAGGATCATTAAACATGCTATTTACTTATTCTTTTCTTGAAGGATACTGTCCTCAACAACTGTCAATCCACTGCTCAGAATAAGGAAAAACGAAAAAACAATGTCTTGTAACCTATATATTTAATGGGTGGTTAGTCATCTTCGGGGTGAAATTATTAGATACCGAACATAATTTCTTTTTTGTCAATGCATATTTTCCCTTTGTTTTCTATAAGTGCAAAGCTATTAAAAGAGTATTGTTCTTAATCAAACAGATTAACATTCTATTAAGCTGCTTGAGAACAGATACATTTTGTAGGCTGCAGTCAAAATCATTGCATTTGTTTTTTTCCAAAAAAAAAACCAAAACAAAACAAAAAACAACAAACCAACAAGAGACTCCAGTGAGTAAGTTGGGTTCTCTCCCCCCCCCAAAAAAAGAACAAAACAAAACAACAAAATCACGAGAGGAATATTTCCAAACTTCTCTTAAGA